AGAGCAACTCCAACACGCCGACCCAAACGGACGCGCCCGCTTTTTCATTTGGGTCGACTGGTGCGCCCAACGGGAGGCCAACCCAAATTTACCCGCGTCCAAAAAAAAAACACGTCGCAGAAATAAACATAATAAAACATTAAGTGGCCGATGAACCGCCGGCCGAAGTCCACTTAAAACATAATTAAGCATTAATTAAAACATAAAAAAAAGTCTGCGCCCGCATGCTGCCCTAGACATCCGCTTGCCCTTGCCCTTGCCATCGCCATTGCAGCCGGTGAGGTCGATAAAGACGGGAGCCGGGCCAGCACACCCGAACGCTGCTTGGTAGGCTGCCAGGGCAGCCTCCTCCGATGACTAGATTCTTGCTGTTTCATTTAACTGTTTCATATGTAGTACCATTTCACTTTGATCGATGAAAATCATTTTGGAATTCGATTCTCTTTAATGACACAGTTGGAATTTTTCTCTATGTACTTAATATGCGCTAGTATTCAGTAAGAGGGGTCATACTTTCGATTCCTTAAGTTTAGAACAGATTTCAGAGACCTACAATTCAAGTTTTGTTTTTGAAATGACATGCAATTCAAATCGTTGTCTTGTCCCTATCCTTTAGCAAAAGTTGACATTATGTCTCAGGTGGTAGCAGTACATGATTGAACAGTACCCTACAATACTTCAACACTAATTTAATATATTCCTTTCAGCTGTATATCAATTGAGTTTGTGCATTATGTTGACTCATGATCATTGATTGACCATTGTCCTTTCCTTCTCTGCAGTCGTGATTCAGCTGGTCAGATAAAACCCTGGTGTGATTCCTCTGAAGTTTAGCATTGTCGCTGCTTTGAGAAGAAACAACTTTATCTCTTTGTAGAGCACTGGAAAATGGATCGCAGAGATACTTCAGGGTTTGTCAGTGGTGGTTGCAAAGATAACTTGTACTGCTAAATGCCTTAGGTTTTCTAACTTGGTAGTTTCGTTGACCATTATTTAACCCGGAAGTGAGGCAAGCTTGGGCACTGAGAACGATGGACCCCAGGCCCGGACAGTCAGCATTTACTATAAGTTTCTCAAATCCGAAGGCCATTGTGAGCAAGTTCCCTGTCGTCCCCGTAGCCAGTCACCCCGCAGACAGTAATAGTCAACTTGATGTGCAAGCTCACGATTATTTGTACAACCAACCAAGAGGAACCAAGAGAAAGTTCGATGGCTTGTCGCTTGGCCTGGGCAACTCATCAAACTCAGATTCCAGCAAGCAAAGTATGCGTGCTGGCTGCACCATATCTTCTCCTAAGGGTAGTGATGAAGGTTCTTCTGTTGATTTGGGCTTAAATTATCTTACGCTGGGCAATGAAGGTACTTCCAGGCTGGATAAGCAGGCTAGTGATTTTAGGAGAACTTCGGCGAAGGCTGGGTTGGATCTTGAGTTATCTTTGTCTGTTGGACCATGTCAATCTGCTATTACTGGCCAAGACCTAACTTCAGCAACCAAACAGAACAACCCATTTCTGCAGCCATACATTATGGACTTGGTCCCAAGAGTTGACGAAGGTTCTACATCTCTTCATCGACCGTCTGGTGGTCAGTTCCTTAATTTCCTTAATAAGACTGCAAGGATGACTGGGTTTTCTCCAAGGCAAGTTTTATCAGGCAGCTCTAACCAGAGTCAGGGTCCAGCTTCACTGCCAACATTGCTCCAACTACAAGAAAGTCCAGCAACCTGTACTTCCGGGTCTGTTAGTCCACAACATCGCATCAGCAGCACAAAAGTTTGTTCATACCCAGGATGTAGAAAAGGGGCCAGAGGTTCGTCAGGGCGCTGCATTGCACATGGTGGGGGGAGAAGGTGCCGTAGAGAGGGATGCAACAAAGGCGCCGAGGGCAAGACCATCTACTGTAAAGCTCATGGAGGGGGACGGCGCTGTGGGCACCTTGGGTGCACCAAGAGCGCTGAAGGCCGTACTGATTTCTGCATAGGCCATGGCGGTGGTCGGCGTTGTATCCACGACGGCTGCAGAAGAGCAGCAAGAGGGAAATCTGGCCGCTGCATCAAACATGGTGGTGGAAAAAGGTGCCAGCAGGAGAACTGCACAAAGAGTGCGGAAGGACGTTCAGGCTTATGCATTGCCCATGGAGGCGGACCTCGCTGTCAGCATGCTGGTTGCACGAAGGGTGCACAGGGAAGTACTGATTTCTGCAAATCGCATGGTGGTGGCAGAAGATGCACGCACCCTGACTGTACAAAGGGTGCTGAGGGAAGCACGCCATTCTGCAAAGGGCATGGAGGAGGCAAACGTTGTTCGGCTCAAGGCTGCACAAAATGTGTGCACGGAGGTACACAGTTCTGCGTTGCGCATGGAGGTGGCAAGAGGTGCGTGGTGGAAGGATGCACCAAGAGCGCCAGGGGTCGTACCGATCGCTGCGTTGGTCATGGTGGGGGCAAGAGATGCGTATCTGTTGGGTGTGATAAGAGCGCACAGGGAAGCACCGACTTCTGCAAGGCACATGGAGGAGGCAAGCGTTGCACCTGGGGTCATCCTGGCTCCGATCTTGGAGTTGGCAGCCCTCCCTGTGATCGCCTTGCTAGAGGCAAGAAAGGCATGTGTGTCCATCACAACCCGCTCCTGGACGATGACCGTATCCACGGCGGCCGAACGCTGGCGGCTTTCAGCATTACAAGCAGCGCTGCTTCCCTTGATCGTCGGAGCCACCCTGCAAACTCGGAAACCAGCAGGCGCAGCATCTCCACCATGCTTCCAGTGGAGGCTCCCGGTCGTGCGCCTCTTCCTGAGGGCCGGGTGCACGGCGGTAACATCGTGTCATTGTTTGCTAATGGTCTGAGCTTCGGGGAGAACTCCAGCAACAACGCCGAGGTCAGTACCTCAGCGCCTCGCAGCTTCAAACCTGCCAAGGAATTCAGCGCCTCTGGTCGCAGCAGCTGGCTCTAGCGCCCAAGGCTTTCCTCCCGCCCGACCTCCGTTTCGACACGGTTCGTTTCGTCTGGCAAGTGTCTCCTGCTCCTGCCCTCTGGTGTGAAGAAAGGCCGCGGTATGATTGTGTGAAGTGTTTGTTGTCTTACTTATGGATTTGTATGTATTAACTGCCCCTCTGTAAGATAGATATAAATAAAAGGGGTTGGGTGTCGAAGTGTTAATTAATTTTAGGTCTTGTGTTGAAGGTGTGTTCGTAGTACAGTGGTCTACAGTTATGCATGAAGAATTAGCCCTGTATGAGATTCCTCCCATCAGTGGTCTACAGTTATACAACATTTGGGTGTAGTAAATATTGGTGTTGCTGCTGTTGTATACAAACATATATTGGGGGCGCTTGTGTGTGTGAAGTTCGTTCTGTCCATCTGAATAATAAGAAAGTTATGGTTGTGATGGTTGTTGTATCTCTCATCCTATGTGTCAGGGCTAGTGATTTTATCCTGCATGCGTATATATGCTTCTCAGTTCTCTCAAGGCAGAGACCGAATGTTTGCTTGTCAGAAGATATTCCATTATTGTATAGAAAAAACATATTGAGATCTGTAAGGCATACATGTTTTTTTTACTACAACAACAACAATAGAGCCTTTAGTCCTAAACAAATTAGATAGGCTAGAGATGAAACCCATAATATCTCACAATCAACTTATGGTTTTCGCACATGGTCAGCAAGCTCTCACACAACCCTATTAATGGTTAGTTGTTTGGTGACACTCAGATCTCTTTTTACGGACTCTTTCCATATCAAGTTTGGTTTGCCTCGGCATGATATACTCAAACCATCTCCGACAATGTTGGATAAGCTTCTCTTCAATCGGTGCTACCCCAACTCTATCTTGTATATCATCATTTCAGACCCGGTCCTTTCTTGAGTGGCCACACATCCATCTCAACATGCGCATCTCCGTCACACATAATTGTTGAACATGTTGTCTTTTAGTCAGCCAACACTCAGCGTCATACAACATTGTGGGTCGAATTGCCGTCCTATAAAACATGTCTTCTAGCTTTTGGGGCACTCTCTCGTCACAGAGAACGCCAGAAGCTTGTGCAACTTGATCCATCCGGCTTTGATTCGATGGTTCACATCTTCATCGATATCTTCATTCTTCTGCAACATTGACCCCAATATCGAAAGGTGTCCTTATGAGGCACCACATGCCCATCAAGGCTAACCTCCTCTTGCCTAATAGATTGTGATTTGGAATATTATGCCCTCTTTAGTTGTTTGGATCGTCACTTGTTGGTTCAGGAATAGCTCCTCTGCTCACTCAGGCTTTGAATTATTTGCCGAAGTTAAGTATTACTCATCATACAGTACTTTTTTTCAAAACACCACCGTACACTGCACGTACAACGCGTATCTACATATCAGGCCAGCCAGTACATAGTCCTGCAATAAAAAATATTATATATACACTGTGAACTTCACATCGTCATCAGTCATCACATGATAGTGCAGTGGGATCCAATGCTCGCCACTGCCTCACTCACTCACTCACCGGCATCCCCTCTGAAGAAAAGGAAAAACATAATTCAAAAGTGTTGGCACATCCTGAAAGTCCTAGTACTTCTTTTTCTTCCTGGCATTATACTCTTTGCAGAAAAGATGGATCAAAAGTTGCAAGGGGAGAAAGGGCGGCGAGAGAATAAAGGACTGCCCACTACTGAAGCAGGCAGACTTTATTTTCTTTTATTTCTTACAGAGATGATGGTGTGAAGAACGATTGTTTAAGATACGATTGCTTCAGCAACGACTAGACTCATCATGCTTTTCTAAAAAAAATCACTACTCATCATGCTTACTACACGTGGATCCAAAAGGACATAAGTGCAACAATTATTGGAAGTAAAATCCACTGACCATGCTGGTCCAGTCATTACCTTTTGCAGCCCCCCTAGCTCAGCTAAGTGGTACAGGCCAGCTTAGCAGTATGAAAGACATTGAAAGTGGCATTATTGTTCAAGAGTATGGTTTTGTGGTTTCCATGATTTCAAGAACAGTATGATTTCATATCTATGCTTTCACAATTCAGAGTATACAACAACTCTAGTGGTTCTAAAGTCTAGTTCCAAAAGCAGGTGCCTCGAGCGCAGCACGTAATTACGCCTGAGATACACTTACTTACGGGGGAAGAAACAACCAGCAATGGTTTCATAATCCTGCCAGCCTGGCAGTTCCAATGGAAACCATCAGGTCGACTGAAAAAGGAAAAGAAAAGAAAAAAATCTCATGTGTCCAAATCCATTTTTCCTTGGAACTCGGCATGGTAAAGAATTGATTGGTTGCAGAGGATTGTTAGCTTGACACCAGTAATTTTAATGCTAAAATAAATATATATACAGTAAGAATTCAGGACCATGTTTGTTTTCATCATAGGTAAAAGGAGTGAAGGGAACACAAACTGGTGAGCAGGGAACCATTATTCAGATGTCCATTCCGAGTTTCCCAGTACAAGCAAGGCATTCTAACTCCTGATCATGATTTGTACCCTTAACAGATGTGCTATTCTATAATCGAGTCTCTAAGGCTAAAAGAAGAAAATAGATAGGATAACCGCAGCCAAATAGTGTGCAATCCAACCCCAAGCTCGCATTTCCTGCAAACAGAAATCAGAATGTCAAATCAGGTTGCCTTCTATGATAATGATGTGGTATCATCACACGCCGAATGTAAGCAAGAAACTCAGGATCATTTTTTATTACACAATACCCGAACCGAGGTGATTTTAATGAACATAAGTGGCAAATTATTCTAGTAGGATAAAGTACAGGAAGCCTGCTATTCTAGGAAGTTTGGTTGAAACATCCCATAAATTATTTGCAGGGGAAGTGTTAGAGAATTCAGAACATGAACTTGCAGATCAATACCTCGTTCAATTATGCACTACACTCATAACAACAAACTACCTTCAAAGAAAGGGATTGACAGTCATCCAATTTTTTTGCCAGGCATTTATTAGTGCAATGAAATTGGCTTAGCCCAACTTAGTAAAGAGGTTCCATAATAATATAAATGGAAGGGAAGCTTATTCGGACCTTATTGGCATTTAAATTGTTTTAGAAGTGGGCAAGTTAATTTCTTGTCATTGTCTACTTTATGGAGGATCTCAGTATTTACTGCTCAGCCTGTGTTCTTTCTATTTAGTACTCCCTCAGTAAAGAAATATAAGAGCGTTTATACAATTAATGTTCTTCTCTGGACAACATTGGTACCAATCCAGTTTGCCAAAGAACACATTCATCCACAACACTGACAGGCCTTGGTCGTTAACGAACATATATTCCAATGTTCACGACCTGGATAAGGACAGCCAACAATCGACCGCCACATTCATCCCATGTGTGAATGACGGAACCCTGGCAGACCTCACGGCGTCACGACCTTGAATCCTTCCGCCAAGACGGTGTTTTTTTAATTGATTTTCTTAGCTAAGTATCGAATTGTAATACTGATACTGTGATACAGATGCTGGACAGCTGAAAGTGCCATGATCCATGATGCACGGGAGAAATTAAATTGATAGGGCCCCTTTTGTTAAAGATGTCATGAGGTTTGGACTTGAAAGCTATGTCTGATTGACTACTGTACCCTTTTGAGTGGCAATTGATGACTTTCGAACTTTTGATATCCACCTCTAATCTGCTTTTAAGTTCATAATGTTGAGAAAGTGGATTACTGGAGCAAAGACCTTACTATAATATAAATGAGACAATACAATGAAAACAAAGACTAGTGGGCAAACAAGTAGATGGGCGAGAAGTAAATGCTTACCTTAATTGACAGCAAGGATGCGGGTGCTGATGAAGGTAATAGACCTGAGTAACCGATATCATATGAAATCCTTCCATCTGGATTGAAGAGCCCATAGTGCTTCTCAGTAGGATCTCCATTCTTCAAGTTCTCATTAAACAAGGCAAAGATGTATGCTTTGACCGGTATCTTTGGCTTGAGAGGAGTTCCCTTCCTCAAAAAGAGCCTCTTACGGAGGTTGTAATTGTAAGTCCTTGCATTCGCAACTGATGCTCCTGCTTGATTTTGATCTCCACTAGAAGCCCAGCCAGTCTCTGCCACCCGGACTTCCATGTCATTATAACCAGCAGCCTGCAGAGCAGCGTAAGCTGCATCTATCTGAGCATCAAACATGTTGTCATAGTGCAGACTAGTATTCGGATCAACTATTCCAGGGTTGGGCTGAAAGAGAGCATAATTAATGTCAATCTGCCCCGGATCACTTAAGTAAGCCAAAAAGGGATATGCATTGACATAGAACGGTGAGCCGATCTGTGAAAACAAATCCAGCAGCGGTTTCATATACACCATGACATCTTCCTTGAAAACACATGCAGAGGGCGGATAGGAAGTAGCGAAAACAGCTTCAGAGTGAGGAGTAAAAAGCTCAATTTTGTCATCCAGATGCAGTTTCTTGAGACCATCGTACATATTCTTAACAGCTCCAACGAGCGGAGCGGCCAAGCTCGGATCGCCTCCCAGCACCTCATTCCCCACAGTGATTCCAACGATGCGTGTCTGAGAAATGTAAGGCTGCACGTTCTCATTCAGCCAGTCAATCGCGACACTCTCATTTGCAGCAAAAGCATTCAGCAACCCATTGTGGACAGCAATGACCAGGTTGAGCCCTGTCCCTTTGAACGCGTCGAGCACGGTGTGATCTTCATTATATATCTTGACATTCCTTATCTTGGACTTCCTGAGGAGCTCAACCACCTTGTCCGGGGACGGGAGGTTATTCGCTATTCTCCCGTAGTTTATCCCGTATGCCCCGACAAACGCGTCAGCGGGTCGATGATGACGACGACCTGGTAAACAGCAAGCACCAACAGTCAAATCTCAGTTCGTGACACCAAAGCCCGTGGTTATTTTGCTGCAAAAGCCTTACTCAGGTGGACAGTAAACTTGATGTATGAATTGACGATCTAGACAAACAACACTGAATTGAATTGGATAAAAAAACACCGCGTACCATGTGAGGGGGACGTGAGGAGGAGGCAACAGAAGAGCAGCAGCATCCAGTGAGCGCACCGGCGCCGACCCATGACCACCGTCATAGCAGGCCCGCCGCAATCGGCCGATCCGGAGCAAGAACGAAGCAGAAGACGGGCACCAGAGTGAGCAGCAGCGTCGGAAGGGCAGGCAAGCCGCGCCGTGCTCGGCAATTTGGTTCCAGGCCGTGGCGTGGAGCCGGGGCGGCAACTTCCATAGACGGGCTGGGGCGGCCGCTCCGAGGCCGGGCACCGGCGGCTGCTCCCCCCTCGCCCCCGCGCAATCTTGGCGGCCCTCTCCTCACCGCCGCCGTAGCACAGGAGCAGGACGGCGAACTTGCCAAGAACGGAGAAAGAATCCGCAAGAACAACACCAACCAGTCCGCCTGAACCCAGCCCAGGACAAGAAGGAATCTCGGCTCCCGCCTGGCGCTGGCCTCCTAGCACTCAGCCCCACCCGGTGGCACGTACCAGGCGCTCCGGCTCTACTCTACTCTAGTAGCACCGGGGAGCAGAGTGCATAGCCCAGTGCAAGTGGCGCCCTTTTCTCCAGGCTAACCTCTGCTTCGGCGGGGGGTTAATAAGGGTTTGTTTGCTTAGCGACGAGGAGATCGGGAAAAGTTGGGAGACGAGACGAGGCGAGGCGAGGCGGGGTGGGGACGAGGTGGATTGGCGACCCGACGAAGGGGACGCGGCGGAGGAGGGGACGGACGGAGGGTCACGCCGCCGGCCCCGCGTCGCAGCCCGGATTCGCCACCGCAACGGCCGGGAGGGAGGGGAAAGAGGGTTTCCGTCTGGGAGGTTTGATTTTTGAAACGGAAGGGGAGGAGGAAGGGGGGTTAACCGGGGCCGGCGGTGGTGGTGGTGAGGTGCTCTGTGCGTGCGCGTTTGTCGTGGACCGGTGGTGGACGGCGGACGCGTCTGCTAGTCCTTTTGCGGTCCTTTTGCAGATTGCCCCTTCGAGTGTGCCTCGTGTCACATCTCTCTTCTGTGGTCGCCTCAAATTTCTGAGGATCGGTCAATTATGCGATTTTCTTCTTCTTTTTTCTTGGGAAATTATGCGTTTTTCTTTTTCTCCTTTATAGAATCTGAATGTTTTTTCTTTTTCACCTAAAGGATCGGTCAATTATGCTCACATGCATGCACATATGCTCATAAGCCTGCTTCACCTGTATAATGTCGGCATGGTTTTAGGTGAAATGTCTTATGAAATGCGTGTGCTTATGAAGAGGGTATGGGTTCAAACTTCACCAAGAACACGATGTAATTTTGGCGGGCGTGTTACCGTTATCGGTATTGTTGTGTGTGCTTAAAGAAAGTTGTAAGATGCATATATAACCCCCGATGGGGTCCATCGCTGCGACATGCGGAGCTAGTAGATCATTTAATTATATATATATTGTCTAACAGCATTTTACATAAAAAATTAAAGTTGCAGCGACGAAAAAGTTGCAACGCGGATGCAACTAGAGCTTACAGTTCGAAGAGAAACAGCGACTGTTTTGCAATGTTTCTATCAAAAAAAAAGTACCTAGGTAACCAACTCGATGACGTGTTGATCAACTAATCAAAGGTTAGTGATCGTGCGGCTAGCATCAACTTCTTTTGTTTCTTTGCTGTTTCTACTTTGTGCTGTATGCTCGCCTTTTTTTGCAAGGCCTTCTTTTTAGATGTAAGTTGCCATCCCGTGGTGAGGTGCTGCTTTAAGCTGTGGGTTGTGGTCATCACATTCACACACCTAAAGTTCCTTCTCAACAAGTGGCAAAAAAGACTTGCTGATTGGCTTAACATATGAAAAGGATACAAATGAGGAAAAACATCTGCATATTCTCGTCCTTTCCCATTCACCAATATAGGACACCATAAGAAATTGCTATTGTTACTTTCTCGAGTGTTTGTTGAACCCCAAGACATCTTAAAACGTCCTTTTAAGTAGGATGGGAATTTATTTTATTTTATCTTTTCAAGGAGTATTAGAAATGCCGATTTGTATATTATAGATACAGTCATGGAGTAGTGTTTTTTTAAGCGAAAGTTTTATTGATTGAAGATATGCTTACAATCCAATTTGAGGAGCTCACCGATGCAAGTTAAAACTAGGATGCCAATCGTCAAACCGAGGGATGGACATTCATCTTGCCAGTTGAGCTCGTTCATGAGCAACGAAAATCACAACCTCTCGAGACATCGGTGGTGAATGCCTTCTTCTCGTTTGTGTGTCATGTCTACGTAGGGCCCTGTGTACAATCGTGTTAGATGATCGTAGTCTTGTGGGCGGGTTTTTGCTAATTAACCGGTCAATTCTTCTTTACGGTAATAATAATTCGGCTCGCTTCAGTGTTTGTAGTCGTCGTTGGGTGGTCTATGAATCTGGATATAATTTTTATTATTTTTGGTGTTCGTTGTACTACCATGATTGAAGATGAATAGATCGACATTTTCAGCAAAAAAAAATGACAGGGTTTTTTTATCATGTTTCGAAACAAAACAATCTCGCATACGAGTACCTTTTTTGTTCGAAAACGTAAAACAGAATATTTGGAGAGCTCGGGGGGCGGAACAGAAAAGGGCGGAAGCACCACGCGTTTGGTCCTGCGCTCATCCTGCGTATCAGCTGCAGCTGCAGGCCGACCGGTGTGGCTCCGTGCGTAAGCACTCGCGAAAAACCCTAGCTGGCTAGTCGACCGGCCGGCTGTTTTGTTTGATGCCTTGACAACGACCATATTCTGCCTTTGCCTTTGCACCGTACCGCGACGCAAAGAAAGCTTTCGCCACGCCCGCACGGTCACGGAGGGGGGGCCCGGACGTGACGTCGACACGATCACGTTGGAATCAGCAGTGGCATGGAGGAAGGTACAGTGGGGAATCAATCATCACGGCGTGATCATCAAAGATGAGGGGGCTCTGCATCCTCTCCGTGGTGACACAGAAAAAAAAATGTTGTAGGCATCGCATCTGGTCTGAAGAAGAAAAAGGTTGGGTAGAGGAATCAGCACGATTTTATGATGGCGCCTCGAATTTCTTCTGGGATTCATGCGGTTAGTGGATTTCACTGTCAAGTAGCAGGAGTAGTTTTCATAGATACACACATTCTGCAGAATCCTGTGTAGTCCTACTTTTCAGCTTCTTGAAGCTTCCAAGCTCCTCCATCCGGCGCTGGACGCCCACTACACTGCACACACTGTGATCGGCTGTTGAGACTTAAACATCATCGACCCCATAATCGGACGATCTACCGCTCAAATCACACCCGCCGTGCCGGGCAGATATATAACTACAAGCCTACAATAATGGCACGGACAAGATTCCCCTTTCTCCAGGCCACGAACGCTGTCACGAAGGCGACGTCGTCTCCCTGCCCAACCGTCCAAACGCGTCGAAGTTAACTTTTATTTAGCACCATGCATGCATGAGATAGACTATCACTATTAATAATACTCCTCTAATGAGAGTGACACGCTATATTTTGGCCATGCTTAGTTCAAAGGTAGCATCAGGCCAGCGCGAAAACGCAATCAGTCAATGCCTTTCTGCATCAGCCGGTCACCCCCATGACTCGGACTCGACTCCTGTCTTTGCGAACCAGATCATCCTGCTTGCCTCTTTTCATTTTTTGCGTCGGACGATACATCGAAATTAGAGCGATCAGACGCGGTTCCACGGAGAAAAGAAGGCCCTTTCCAACAGATTACATATATAATCAGAGGCATACCTTGGACCAAAAAGGTATTGCTTTATGAAATTTTATTCAGGCATACCAAAGCTGTGTGGACACCAAATTGGCTGATGCCCAACTGACTCCAGCTCCAGGCCTGGTTGAGAGAACCACAGGAGGGAGATCCTGCAAATGGCACACAACTCAGGACAGGAGCATCTGCAAAAATATGCATTGAAAATACTGGGGTATGCGAGGCCCATGTTTTCTTGTATAAGTCACGTATTGTTTGTTATAAATGGTGCCGTCATCCCAGCAAATAACAAGTGCGAGCGGGTTCAGATAGCAGAGGATGCCCATCTCTAAGAGACAACCGCGTCTTTCCCAGCCACGTCGAAGGAAAGCTCTCGCTTGTCCGACCCAAACTTGAAGGTTGGAGCCACTTCCTCTGCACCAGCAGAGCCGCCTGCTGCATCGACAGAGAAAACGAGATTGTCCGTAGAACTTGGTGAGCCAAAGTTGAACTTGGGGATATCTTGGATGTCAGCTGGCGGGCTCCTTTTCGGCGGTGAGAAGAAAGTAGGAGTGGGTGGCGGTTCTGGAAGCGAAACTGAGGTTTTGGTGACAGGGAACGAGAACATGAAACCATTGGTCGCGCTTTTATCCGAGACTGCTGCAGCTGGTGCAGTTGCCGCGTCGGGCTTCGAAAGATGCTGTGAGCCGGTCATTTCAGTAACTTCTGGGGTGGCCACTGGGCTCTGGACCTTTGGAGCCGGCTCCTCACAATTGGAGCTGCTTGGGGGTTCCTGAACCTGAACAGAAGTAAACACAGCTATCTGAGTAAATAACTGTTCATAGTATGATTCTGCCAAGCATCTGCTAAATGACTAACAAACAGTACCAATACTACATAAAACTTAAACAAGTAGCCTGTAGTCAGAAGAAAACGTTGCAAGGAAACACTATTCAGCTGCATCGCACTAACATAATTCTTCCAAGTGTTTCAGCCTAGTTTAAATAGCCATTGACTATACAAACACTAGCCAATGGCTGGTGTTAAATATGAATCCCGAATTGCAAACTTGAGTAGATGCATTTCACAAATAGTAAGTAAGATTATTACGCTGGAAAATACATTGGGATATATACCTTCTTCACATTTGAAATTGCCTGATAAGCACTGGCATGCTCATTGAGGCTGTTCTGTCTGGGAGCATTATTAGTGACGGAGTCGGGCATTTTATACGGGCTGCTGATGACAACAGGGGAAATAGTTCTCTTTGCAGTTCGCCTTAGCTCTGGCTTTACTGTAGGGGATGGAATTGTCCTCTCAAGATGCTGGAGTATTTTCTGAGCTGTCTGGCTTGACTTCGGATGAACAGATACAGCAGCATGCTTGGAAATATTGTCT